TTAAAGATATTAAGCTTGACCCAAATGATATTAAATTTCGATTTAAAGCTTTCGTGACTGCAGGGATTCATCTTCTTGGTTCTTTCGGTAAAGTCACGTAGAAGGGAAGTAATAAAATAATAAAAATAAAACATAATAAAACAATTCTCACGACGTTTCGGCCACAACGCAAGCAGCCGTCCTCAGGTGAAAACCAGGTCCGTCGAGGCGACAGAGTCTGAATGAAACAGCACACGAGCTTGGAGCATATATATAAGCTGGGCGCATTGACAAAGGAATTTGCATATCAAAAGGAATTTAGCATATTTATGGGAAATGCAGGAATGTGATTAGTACTGCATATGCATGTGCATTATGCAGGATTAACAGCATCAAAGGGAGCTGCAGTTACTGCTGCTGCTGCACTTGCTGCAGCAGCAGCAAGTGCAGCAGCAGCAACTGCAGCAGCAGCAGCAACTGCAGCAGCAGCAGAAACTGCAGCAGCAGCAACTGCAGCAGCAGCAGTAACTGCAGCTCCCTTTGATGCTGTTAATCCTGCATAATGCACATGCATATGCAGTACTAATCACATTCCTGCATTTCCCATAAATATGCTAAATTCCTTTTGATATGCAAATTCCTGTGTCAATGCGCCCAGCTTATATATATGCTCCAAGCTCGTGTGCTGTTTCATTCAGACTCTGTCGCCTCGACGGACCTGGTTTTCACCTGAGGACGGCTGCTTGCGTTGTGGCCGAAACGTCGTGAGAATTGTTTTATTATGTTTTATTTTTATTATTTTATTACTTCCCTTCTACGTGACTTTACCGAAAGAACCAAATGATATTCTCAAGTTTTGATGTGACTTCTCTATTCACGAAGGTTCCAGTCAATGAGCCAATTGAATTACTTGAAACTCTAACACACACAGGTTTAGCCAAAGATATCCCACGACTAGCTGAACACTGTCTAAAGAACGCATATTTATTGTGGAAAGATGATTTCTACAAGCAAAAGGAAGGAGCAGCAATGGGCTCTCCTTGATCTCCTGTGATAGTGCATTTGTACATGGAAGATTTTGAAATAAAAGCAATAGCTTCAAGCACACTAAAACCCTCTGCTTGGATTAAATATGTGGATGACACATTGGTGGTCTGGCCACACGGCAAAATACATTTAACGAATGTCTAAATCATCTCAACTCAGATTAATTCTCCAAAAAAATGTTACGCATACAATAAAAGGAAAAAAGTAAACATCTGAAAGTGTTGCTTCTGCCTCTACATGAATGTAATAGATGTAGGCATTGGCTCGATAAGGTCCATCATGTCTTTATCGGATACAAATGGTTGACTGGAGCTGCTTGCTTCCTCACGGTTCATGTTCAAAAAGAGCAGTTTCAAGTTCATGTTCAAAAAGAGCAGTTTCAAGTTAAACATTTTACAAAAAATTTGCTCACAATTACTAATCTCCATTTATTATTTAACGTGAGCACAGTTGGTCACGTATGGTGCGAAATAAGTTGAACATAAATTTTAACTTTCAACTTTCGTGACTGCAGGAATTCATATTATTGGTTCTTTCGGTAAAGTAACGTAATCAGAAAACCAAAAATCTAATAAATAATAATAATAAAATTATAATTTACAATTATAAATAAAAATTAATTGAAAACAATAAAAGCAAAAAAAAACAAGGACGTTTCGATCGCAACACAAGCTGTCTTCATCGGGCGGAGAGAAAATTATATTTAATTATTTTTATTTTATTTTTAAATTTTAGATTTTTATTTTTCTATTTACGTGACTTTACCGAAAAAACCAAAGAATGAATTTACATTGTAGCGCATTTAAACTCTGCAGGGTGCTTTAAGCCTCATCTTTAAGCATTTGTTTAAGGCACTGCACCAAAGTCGAGTGATAATGATGACAAGGGTCAGTGTGCAAGGGCCGATCAATGGGTGACCGTAACAGGAAGGCACACGGGGTCACGAAAGGGCGACAGTGGTGGGAAGGAGTGGAGTGGCGAGGGGAGGGTAGAGGAAGGGAATGATGGGAAGTGGGTAAATCCACTCGCTGTAGCAACGGCGCCCTAACTGAAGACGACACTCGTTTGTGAAACGTAACGCCTTTGCGAGAGCCATGAGCTATAACAATAAAACAATGTCTTTAGAACTGTTTTTGTTGTCCTTCCCCACCGTCTCACCTCCAATTAGCATGGCCGGCTACGTGCGATGCGAAGCGCAAAGGGCTAAACGCTGCGACACCACTTCCCTCCAAACACAAAGATCCACCATGCAGCCTTTAACAACTTGCTTGGGCACGTGGTGTCAGCGAGCACCTTTGATGATCGCAACCGCCTTTGTCTCACCAATGACGATGATTTTACAGATCCACACCAGGTACTCATTTATGGCTGAATCGACCTAGAGTCTCAGGACCGGTTAAGATAATCGTCACTGGTGTTGGCCGATGAGTGGGAATCGAACTCTGGTCGCTGGGTTCGTAGGTCAGCGCACTAACCGCTACACTACCGCTCCCCACACCATACACAAGACAAAAATCCCCTGTATAGCCTTAACATACTATAGGGGGCAAGTGCTGTTGTCTCCCCAGTAACGATGTTCAGATAATCGGCACCGCACACACACACACGTAAATACACAATACCGTATAGGCAAATTAGTCCACAGGAGAAATCGACGGAAGGATTTGTATAAGCTTGAGTTACTCTTCTTGGCTCTTTCGGTAAAGCCCCGTAGAAGGGAAATAATAAAATAATAAAAATAAAACATAATAAAATAGTAATTATTATTTTATTATGTTTTATTTTTATTATTTTATTATGTTTATTTGTATTATGTTATTATTTCCCTTCTACGTGGATTTACCGAAAGAACCAAGAAGACGAATCCCTGCAGTCACGAAAGCTTTAAATCGAAACTTGAGTAACTCGTCTCGTGACATTTTTGGGGGTATTTGGGACGACGGAACGCAAAAAAACCGGTTCACAATTTGGAAAGCTTTTACAATCGGTGTCCTCTTACGAGAGGACGAAGGCGCAGGCCGGCAACTTCTCGCTCAGACTACTGGCAAAACAGGCCTGCGCTAGAGAGAGCTTCTGGAGACCCCCCCCCCCTGCCAAGAGGGTTATAGAGCAGTTTCTGTTCTCCTATAACGCGGTTGTAGTTGCGTTTCTGAACACAGCTTTATTAAAGACTCGTATTACTAAAGCATATATAATATAGGGGGGTAAAGCACAGTCCGCGATAATGCATGAGGTGCGTAACACAGTCCGAACAAAGACCGAGGCGCGTGGTGGGTAATGTTTAGAAGAATCCAGCAGCATCCCAGTTCCTCTTGCGATTCTACGCCGAGGCAGTCGTACGTACGACCGCTTGTTCCTACTGGCGCTGCGACGTAGTTCCGTTTGCTCGATCGCGTAATATATCCGAATCGCATCCGCGTTATAAAAACATGCATTCCCTAACACAATCATTGCCTAAGCCTATTCTTATTTTTTTCATCATTTTGAAACTGGAAAAAGGTTGCATATATATAACTACTCAACCCAAGTTTTTAATAATTTGATACTTGTGTAGAGGTGCTAGACACACTCTATTCGGTAACCTGCAGGGCACTATGTAATCAGAGGGAAATGCAGTGTTACCAATCTGGGACCAAGGGCCGGGGTCAGGTAAAGGCGGGAGCAGATCGTAAACACACTTCCTACCAGACCAACGGCCAAGGTCAGTTAGGATAAAAGAGGATCGAAAACACAGATTCTAGAGAACCAATCAGAGGGTCCCACGAGAGAGCAGTTCTCCTCAAGACGAAGACTCAAGCCAGCTCAAAATGGCTAGGACCCTGGACCAAGCCTTCTAGCTCTTATAAGAGCTAAGGCTCAGTGTTAACAGTGGTCAAGGGGAGAATATGGTCCTGACAGGCAGGACCCTGGCTCCCCAGCCTTCTAGCTCTTGTAAGAGCTGAGGCTCTGCGCAACCTGTGGTCAGGGGACCCACCGAGCTAGCCTCCCCTAGGTCCCAGCCGTAGGACGCTAGGGTAGCGGGTAGATGGAGAATAGTCCCCGCCAGGTAGGAGGCTGTACCTCTCAAGGCTAGCAGCCAGACCCGTATGTAGGTCCCGCTAGGTACGGAGGCTGTACCTCCTTAGGCTACGGGTGAGGGAACCGCATATCCCTCTGTGTGTATAGGGACTGTGTCGTAAGAAAGACAATAAGCCAGTGTGTGCCTTAAGAAGTTTATTTATCTGTTATTTACAACACAACACTTGCATTGCCTTTGTACTGTTCGCCTTTTGTAATTGTTATCTGGCCAAACACTCATGAGTCAAGGCCATAAAGAATGGTGTCTCTGTAGGCCCATCAGTTTCAAAGACAATGCGTATATTATTGTCAGAGCATGTTTGTTTGCATGGTTGGGCACAATTACATGTGGTTCATGCAGACTTGATGTCTTGCAAGAGGATTTTGGTGTATGCATATTTTAACACCTGTTATAATTGCCAGAAAGGGTAAAACGTATTCTTACGTTTTTCGTTGTGCCCTAAATATTACAAAGTTCTCCACGTTGCGCACTGCATGACAGACCGCTGTGACGGCAAACCGGTTATTGTCCATAACCATAATTTATGGGGTTTTTAAGGTAAAGATAATATGTGTCGCTAAAGCGCCACCACCACCCGACATACCCAATTAGAGGGGTTTTCACGTAAACAAAAGGGGTCAATTTGCTCCGAGTTTAATACCAACCGGTTGTGTGCTGGAGAGTAAACCCACAACACCATTTACATGGGGGTTTACTCTCCATCACACATTTATATTCACGCCATTTAACCCCTCAAAAAAACTTTAATGGTTAATATTGGTGGCGAAAGCGTATCAATACGTGTTAATCATTGTCCATATCGCCGCTCTTACCAATAAACCTTTTCCAACGGCCATCGAAGAGACCCATTCACGGTGCCTCTCAAAACCAGAAGTCACCAGTTGCTTTCACTCACCTTCATTCGAGCTCCCTCCTGATGGCAGCATAATCACTTTTCTCAGTGAGCGCTCTCCGACCCAGAGAAGATTGGTTCCGGATGCAACCACATTTAAAAATGGTTTGTAACTTTGATCCTTACCCGTGTATCGATAGTTCAATGTTATTGTGCAGTGTTATTGAGGGGCTACTGCTATATGTTGTCTTAGTGTAGTTTAGGACTCTTCTTGTTGTTTTCTACCTTGCCCAAACTTGCATTTCTTTGTTAAAAGATCGGCAGGAATGCATGGACTTATGCAATGTTCCAAAATTAGATTTCTTATTTCTTGTTTATTTTACATTTCACACTTCCTGGTAGACATATATGCGTTCCCCGCATGCCGAAAGTTGAAAAACACGATGACAAAGCCAAACGGCAGCAGGGAAACAGAATACAAGAGATTTTGATCAGATGGGCATGGTGATAATCACCAGAGCTGAGGATGGTCTTGTGAAGCCGCAGTATAGTTTGCTTCCAAGGAATTAACCTAACTCATGAAGCAGACGGGGAACAAATTAATGACAGACCATAAAGGAAATAACCCTCGCGTGGGCAAGGAGTGACCCAGGAAAATTCTGAGAGAAATTCACGGAAGGGGTCTGACATCAGCACCTCCAAAGGACAGAGCAGAACAGGATACGGAAGAGAGCACTCGTGGCAAAACACCATAAACCACTGCCCACCCGAGGGCAAATACAGGGCAAAGAGACAAGAATGTCCCTTGCTGTTTCAACGACTGTCGAGATTAACAAACCCTTTATGCTTGGAGAGTTTAAACGTTCAAAATGACAAATACGCTATATTAATAATCTTAACCATCATGGTACTACGTGGTAATCTATTGTTGCATGACAATAGAGCACAGAGTCACGACGTTTTGAATACAACTAGTTGCATGTTTTATTGACATCCACTTATCCGTACATTAGTGCCATGAGATCTGTGTTAAGCATATAAACTTGATAACGAACGGTTATGGAAAAATACCTAAGATAAAATCACATTCACGTCGTTGTCGTGAATTTGAAAAATCTCCAGAAGGCTGTGTGGCAAAACATTATTTTATATTCGTGTGGGGACACAGATATGAGAAGGAAGAATATTTCCTGCTGATGTATTGTGTTACATTCTTCACAATGACATGAGTGACTATCGAGCTGTGTAAAAAAATAGAAAATAGCAAGTGTTTTTTAAACATCCATGGAACAATAAAGTTACTGATACATTAAACATATTCTAGGTGATTATTGCACTACAATGCAAACAGACAAATTATATCCTTGTTGGTTTAATAATGTTTCAATAACGAAGAATTATGAATCGCTGCCTTCTAAACGAAAGGGCTGCCTGAGAATGCTCTACATTTCTTATAAAAAAAAAATTCCAAAACACCAAGCAATCGGTGGCATTCGAAGTTGTAGACAAATAAAGGGGACACATGTCCCTGAGCTGTTTAGTATGCCTCTTCAGCCAACTTGCTGGGGGAGAGAAATGGCCTCGTCTGACATTTCGTCCCAGGCATCAAAACACCTTTCGGGGGGGGGGGGTCCTTGCTATAAATTCTGAATCACGTCATGTTGAAACTGGTCTACTTTACTTGATAAAATGTTGTTAAGATGCTATCGATAAAATAGAGCTTAAATTCTAAACAAACAAATTATACTGTACGTTGTAGAACCACTCCAAGTGCGTTTATATGTTACTGCTCGATAGACCATTCTAGCGAAAAATCATTGAATCTCCCTGCTGGAAGTGGTGGCATAACAACCCTCCCTAGCCCTCGAGTGAACCGTGAGCATTTAAGCCACAAGCTCAAGGGCAAGGAGCGGGAAGTTTTAGGCTAAATGGTCGCCCACTCCCACTGAGGGGACGGGGGGAGGGGACGGGGGGAGGGGACGGACGTTCCATTTAATCTGACAGTGAGTTATGTAGCCAGCAGCAGTGCACCTGCACTGAGGCCCAAGGGCCAAAGTGGCTGAAGTACCAGGTGACGAAGACGGGGGGGGGGGAGGGCGGGACCCTTAAAAATACTTGTGCCATGTCCCCTCACAATCGTCTTAGAACACTTGAGCGCGGCATTCCAGATGTTACACCAGTCGTGGTAAATGGACGTTTTTGGTGTGAACACGAAAATATTCCACGGACATCCAAAGAAGTGGAGGAAGGTGCATTAGCCATAGCGTAGATACGTAGGGCTGGTCAGCCTTATTATTCCAGATGTAATGTGTGCACGTACGTATGTTAAACTGCTTTCACGCCGTACGTAGCCAACCGTGCTAATCGGAGGTGGTTGGAGGATTCATTAATCACGAATTAATAATGAATCCTCTGAACAAATCGCATTTAAAATATGTTGGATCGCGGAAGCTCGGGTTTGAGCCTGGCTCGTGCTCGTACATGGGTGACCATAGGCGGCATATAATACGTTATGGACTTGGAACTATGCGATGACCAGCCGACTACAGTCCAGTGCAGCAACATCCATTGTTGTATTGTACTTTTATGTGTCTCGCCTTCAACAACCCACATTGACCAGAATGGTGCAATCTGGTCAAATACCCCCCCCCTTCCCAGCCATCAATGCGCAAGGCTTAACCTTTGTATTTTGCTTTTGAGATTTTACAAGATCAGGAGCATTCTATGTTGTATGTGGAATGACAATTGAGCCTGCATGTGGTGTGAAGGGGCTAGTGGCCACGGGAGGTAATGACGGGTAATAGTTGTGAGTGCGAAGGGACTGGTGGCTACGGGAATGTACGAAAAGGGAGCGTGGTCAGGTAACGGAAGAAAACGGTTGAATCTGCCGGTAGAGCGAGTGTCCAGAGTCGGCGAGAATGATCGAGAAGGGGGGCGTGGTCTCAGTTGGTATAGAAGGGAGATGCGCGCGAGACTCGGGGCTGTTGCCATCTCAAGAGAAGTGTCAAGTCGTAATTACAACCAGTGCCAGAAGTGGGGTGTCATCATGCCATGGCGTGGTTGCAAGGAGAACTCACCGACAACGACTTCGGACGGGGAAGAGACCCCCTTCCAGCAAGCCCCAGTTGGTGGGGACCCGGTGAATAACCCCACCAGTGAAGAGGGAGCAATGTGGTAACGAGGAGAGGGGGCCGGCCAACAGAAACAAATAAGCGAGGAATTTGACGAGGTAACGGGATGGCTGGATCGGCTGTTAGCAGTGTTCTCACAGCTCACTGTATAGCTTGCCGCAGCTGCGGAGAGAGGAGGAATGGCGAAGAGCACGGTGGGCGTCACCTCAGTGAAAACCGCTCAACCGATGGCCGCCATTTCACAAGGTAACCAAATGGCGGCTGAAGAAAATACAGCTCCGGAGGCGTTGGAAAGGGTAACTGACCGCCCGCGGTGGATGATGCCTCTAAAATAATTTGTAGCGGCAGGAGGCAACTGGGGTGCCTTCCCCCGAAGGTTCGAGGCAGCGTATCAAGCCATCGGATGGTTGGAAGAGGAAACACTGAGAGCCCTGCCTACCGCCCTTGAAAACGACGCCCTTGCAGTGTTCCATGCTGTGCCGGAGGAGTAAAGGGCTTCGCTACAAGAGGTGTATGGTGAAATGGCGACTGTTTTTGATTCCCCATTGAATATGCAGAGAAAGTTCCTGCAGCGAAAATGGGAGAACGCCGAGACGTCCATCGCTTATCACAGCATGTTGATATCACTGGTGCAGGTAGTGTATCCATGGCTGAACAAGGCGGCACTGGAATTTCTAGTGATGGAGCAGTGACTGCGGATCAGCGGGAGTGGAATGCCAATTCTCCGGAGTCGGTTGATGGCAGAGTGGGCCACAGGGCTTGCTGGAGCTGCCATCTGCAGTGGCAATTTCTGCGGCGGAGACCACGTGGTTGCTGGCCACCATTTCGCCTACGGAGGGCATGGTGGGGCTGGTGGGTGCCATTTGCTGTGGGCTGCGGGGCTCGACGGAGCTGCCACCTTCAGCGGCGACTCCTGCGGCGGTGACCACGAGGTTGCGGGGTGCCATTTTGCCCACGGAAAGCATGGCGTGGCCAGTGGGTGCCATTTGGCGTGGGCAGCGGGGGGCGTCGGAGCTGTTGCCTGCAGTGGTGATTCCTGCGGTGGAGACCATGGAGGGCAAGGCATGGCTGGCGGACACCATTTGGAGTGGGACGCAGGACGATGCTAAGGCGGCGATGCGAGGAGCTGCGTACAGACCACTACAGCTGCCGCTCGTTCAAGAGTTCGTGGTGGCTGGAGGCGATTGGACGGCCTTCTGTCATCGCTTCAAAGCAGCTTGGTTGTCCATCGGATGGACGAAATGGGAGGTCCTGCGAGCGCTACCGATGGCCCTCGATGACGATGCGTTAGCGGTGTTCCAGGCCATCCCGGAAGGTGATCGATCAACTCTCAGGCAGGCATTTGCCCAAATTGCAGCAGTCTTTGACCCGCCATACAACACCAAAAGTAGATTTTGCAGAGGAAGCGGGAGAGGCCCAGTAGCATCTCGCTTGTCATAGCACTTTGCTGGCATCGGTGCAAGAGGCGTATCTGCACATGAACCGAAAGGTGCTCAAATCCTTAGCAGTAGAAAGGTTGGTGTCATTGGTGCAGGAGTTGAGGGTTGTCCTGACCTACATGCCAGGAAGTGGAGATGGTGGCTGCGGTGTACAGCTATGGGCAGCGCGGAAGGGTCACTACAGAAGGCCGATGGGTCGGAGTTGGCAAGAAGGGAAGACTTTTCTGCCCTGGAGTCACACGGCCGCCTGCGGTCGGCCGGTCCACATCGCAAGAGAATGTCGGGATGTTAACCCAACGTCGATAGCACTAACGACAGCCTTCATCATAATTGCCTCTGCTCCTCAAGCCCCACAGGATCCAAGTCTCTGATTCCAGAATATATTCCGAGGTCGCCGTGTGTGAGGGATTGGAGGCTGGAGCCCGGTCATGTGCTGCTATGTTGAATCCAGGGAGGAGCCGCAACCTTTAGGCCATTTTTTTTGTTCCTCGGAGCCCCACAAGTACAGGATCCTGCCCAAGGTGGGGGACCGGTGTCAAGGACCAGGTTCAAGTGAGCAATGTCCAGTAAAGCGGACTCTTCCTTGTCCTGTTGATCGGGGAAAAATGGCATGTTAAAGGTT